TCGCAGATGGTCTCCGCGGACAGGTTCCCTGTGAGGCGTTTCCGCGGGAAGGCCACGTCCTCCAGCTCCGGCCCGAAGCGCTTCAGGAGGGCCTTCTGCAGCCTTTCGAAGTCCGAGTAGCGCCGTTCCACCACCGCCTTGTCGCTGTCAAAGCTCCCAGTCTGGATGACCACGACCTGATACATCTGCAGGCAGAAGGGAGAGGACACCCCGAATGCACGCTGGGTTCTGGGTATCGAACTGAGGTGGTCGGGCTGGGCAGCAAGTGCTTTTACTGGCTGAACCATCCAGTGGGCCCTCTACCACTTTCGCGTATGCATGTAACAAACTTTGAGGATCTTCACACCACCTCCCCCTCACCATACTCTTGTGCCTCCCCTGTTGTTGTGGCAAATGTTGGCCCTAGAATAACAGTGCTTAGAAGCATCTTGGAAGAAAAAGAGCACAGGGACTTGCTGGTGAAGCCGGGTATCTCTTGGCTTTTTATCTTTAAAACACAGGGCTCCATTCTGAATTGGGAAGCATGGGCTGGAATTGGGAGTACGCGTGTGGAACCCCTGGGCATTTGTTTCAGGTCTAACACATTTAGGCACATTGGTCTTAGGTTGGCAATTTAGTCTCTTTGAGCTTCAGTTTCCCTAGCTCGAGGATGGGGTTCGTTCCTGTTTTCTTCATGAAGATTAATTAAGTGAGTGAACTCACTGAGAGAGAGAGAGAGAGAGAGAGAGAGAGAGAGAGAGAGAGAGAGAGAGAGAGAGAGAGCTGTGCCTAGCATGCACTGGTGGCTACTGTAACTGTACCGGACCCAGTAGGACGAGTGGCAAGATGCCCTGGTCCCAGTGAGGCCGGAATGACTGGGGTTGGTGCTACTCTTCTATCTTCCTAGAAGAGGCTGATATCCCAGTCTCACAAAGATGGCAGCTCCCAGCAGGATGCTTTCCACAGCTATGACTAGCTGCTAGAATTTAATAAGAGTTCAGCTTTCTTTTGTGTTTACTTTTGTAATTGGTTTTTCTTAATGCCATGGGAAACTTATCTTTCACTGAAATATAGTGTTTTTTAAAAGCAATTCAAATTAAAATGAAGCAAGTAGTTTGGATGATATTGCAGAATCAGTGGAGATGGGATGCAGACAACCGGTATCTGGGATTATGGGATCAGAAACATGACTCACACATTTCTAATCTCCATGGGACCCTGTATGTAGCATCATGAAACCTTCATTTCTTGGAATACCGGGAGTTAGTGTGTCATGTCCTGGGTGGAAAGTTGAGGTCTCCCAAGACCTTCCCAGGAGCATGTAAGAGGTGACTGACAGGGCCTCCATCACATCTAAGCTCTGCTTACCACAAACTTGGAGACTCTCCTCTCCTCAATGCGGGCTGAGGCAATCTCAAAGAGCAGTTTGACATGTCGCCAGCGGCTCTTCTCCTTCTGCCAGTGTTCCTGTAGCTCCCTCGTGGTCATGCTGGAGTTGGAGCTGGGGCTGTCCAGGGTTTCTGGAAGGACAGTGTCTTTAAAGAGTCTGGAGAGATGACTGGGTCTGCTTGGGATGGGTGATTAGAGTTCTGGAAGAGCACACCCTTCCTCCCAACAACCCTCACTGTTGGACCATTTTGTAACCTGGCAAACAGGGACCCATCCATGTTTCTGTACTCCCTACAGCATTGGCTCCAGGGAGCCAGGGGCCCATTAGTGCACATCAGTGTGCTGGAGGAAGCCCTGAGGAGGTCATGTTTCAGCCTAAACTGGGGTGGCTCTTACTGTACTAACACTTTCAGGGTGTACCTGTCACTCTGCTTTGAATTCAGTTCTCCTGTTTCCTTGCCTGGAAACCAACAGTGTTTTGTATTTTGTTGTTGTTGTTTTGTTTTGAGAAAGGGTTTCTCTGTGTAGCCCTGACTGTCATGGAACCCTGTAGATCAGGCTGGTCTCAAACTCACAGAGATCCATCTGTCTGCCTCAACCTCTGTCTCCCACATGCTGGGATTAAAGGCGTGCACCACCACCACTCAGCTTTCAATGGTGTTTCTTAAGCCTCACTTGAGCCCCACACCCATCTGAGAATCTGTGTAGCTTCCTCCAAAACTATTGCATAAATAATTGTGCATTTATTGCAAGAGGCACAGGCCTGGGAAATCCTTGTCTTGTACTATGTGAGTTAAATGTTACCCCACCCCCACCCCTTGATACTGGAGAAAATGCCTCCCATTTAGTTCCGGTAGCCTTCTTGTGGCACTTCTAATTAGTTTTCACTAATGTGTCTCTACTGAGCTTGAAGGCCAGGAGAGTGATCAGTTTTACTTTCCATGCCTGGCACATGTCAGGCTTCTGCAGATCCCCTTGAACTGGTGTAAAGAGAGATTAGTCCAGGAGATGGCACTATTTTGAGTATTGCCGGTGCCAGGCTAGGACCCACTGGCAACCACTGTTCTGGAACATGCTATTGGATTCTTAAGGGAAGCCCCTTGACTCAGGGCCCTGGGGCCTCTCTAGGACCATAGCAACATGTTCGGGTGTCTCTTCAGCATTTGCAGGAAGGGATGGTGGACAATCTCTGACTTCTCTGTCCCTTGGTTGCACAGTTAGTTATGTTCTTCACACTTTCCCATGGACCCCCATCCAGGCTGAGTCCCAGTCACCTACCACAGTCATGTGACCCCCACCCCTATACAGGATGCCGCTCTTATTCCCAATCCCTGCTCTGCCTCTGAGGATCAGCTCCCATGTAAAGAGCCTGCACCAAATCCTTGTCTTAGGGGTGACCCCAGTCAGCTGCCCAGCTACCTTAGTGTAGCCACTGAAGAGCTTCAGATGTCTTTGAACTAACTTCTACCCCCTCGCTGAACCCCAAGCCCTCAAGTTTACCTAAGTGTTCTGCTCCTGGACATGGGAGGTCTGGGCCTGAGGGCAATGCTTCTTGCCTGGTCCTTGGTGTGCTTTGGTTTATGGGTCCTGTCCAACCAGGGCTCCCAGGATGCTCCAGACTTGCCATCCTCCAAGGCTTCTAGAGGTGCAAGAGAGAATAGTGACAGCCAACTCATGTTGGTGCTCCTGCAGGATCTTGGGGTACCTGGGATTCTGGTTGTAATCTGTGCTGGCAGGCATTGAGGAATGACAAAGATCACCTTGCTTGGTCCTCTGCTGCCCACCCAGCCAGATCAAACCTTGCCTTCCCCTATGATGGACAGAGTTAGGGTTGTTATCTGTGAAGTATATATAGTTACTCTGGATTTCACATGGAATAGCATATAGTGACAGTAATAACTTTGGGGATTGCCTTGGAGGAAGATGCTGGCTGGTCCAAATGAATGTCCCACTACCCAGTTTTAAATTACAGTGCAGCCCCCCCCACATCTATCTACCTAAGCAAATGTTTAATATGCCTTGTTCATCTCATCTGGTTCTTCATACTTTGTTTTTTTTTTGAGACAGAGTTTCTCTGTGTAGTCCTGGCAGTCCTGGAACTCACTCTGTAGAGCAGACTGGCTTGGAACTCACACATCCATCTACCACTGCCCCTGAGTGCTAGGATTAAAGGCGTGCACCATCACTGCCTGGCTCACCATTTCTTTTTAATAGAACACCCACCAAACTTTGCCATTTGTGCCAAATAACAGATAAGGAAGCAGGTCTAGGCCAAGGTCTTGTGGTTGGTGAGTGTACAAAGGAGCAAGGTGGAACTGCCCTCAAGACAGAGAAACTGAATTTGTCTTTACATGTTCTCAATATGATTACCTTCTTTTCCAGGAACTGTCTATATTCTCACTTTATGGTGAGGCACTGAGATTCAGGGCAGCCTAACAGCAAGGGCTGAGGTGTGAGCTGGGACAGGAGCCCAAGTTGGCTGACTACAGGATCTTTGCTCTTACAGAAGTGGACAGGAGGCAAGCAGCAGTCCAGCAGACTTCTAGTGTCCAGTCTGTGCACATAAGGGAATGGATGACTTGGTAGCTGTCAGGCCACCTAGCTTCTCTATGTCCCAAGGTCCTTTAAAATGGGTACAATATCATCACAGGCTGGTATGAGGATTAAGCTAGGCCTACCCCATAGAGTTTGAACTCAGGGACCTTCACACACCAGGGACTGCACAGTCCTTCTGTTACTAGGATCTGATATGTGTTAGGTGTTTGAGAAATAGTAATGAAACAACTCTAGAAGTGTACGCTTTTTACAGATAGCTGCAAATTAGAAGAGAAACAAAAACATCCTCTCAGATGAACAAATGGCCTTCTAGGCATATGTGTTATGTTTTCTTTTCATCACTGATAACACCTGACAGAGACAACTGACAGGAGAATGTTTTATTATGCTCAGTTTTAGGTTTTACCTCATCATGGTAGAGAGGGCACAGACAGAGCACAGCAGCTCATCTCCAGGTGATCAGGAAGCAGAGAAGAGGGGGAGGGAGAGAGAGGAAGACAAACGGGGAGAGACTATGTTTATATTAATAGAGGCTTTCCCCACTTTCTTCTTGGTTTTTTAAATGTGTATGTATGTGTGTATGTTTATATTAATAGAGGCTTTCCCCACTTTCTTCTTGGTTTTTTAAATGTGTATGTATGTGTGTACTTGTATGTATGTGTGCCTGTGCGTGCGTGCGTGTGTGTTGTGGTGTGTGTGTGTGTGTGTGTGTGTGTGTGTTCATGCCTGTGCATTCCCCACAGCTCATGAAGAGTATGTAGGTTATATGACAGCTTGCAGGAGTGGTTCTCTCCTACCACATGGGTTATGGGGCTCAAACTCAGGTCATCAGGCTTAGCAAACGCCCTTGCCTGCTAAGCCATCTCATTGAACCACACGTCCCTCTTTTCCTTCTAGCCTTTGGGATAATGCTACCCACATTCAGGGTGGGTCTTCCCCTTTACTTAGTCACCTGTGGAAACCCTGCACAGACACACCCAGAGGAATACTTCCCTTGGCTCCCAGGGTATTATAAATCCAGTTGAGTTGGCAAGATTAACCACCATATACAGGAACTCAAAGGGGGTGCAATGATAACATCATCCCCTCTCAGGACTTTGAGTTGGCCATGGGGAGGCTATTGGGCCTTGAGCCTATGCCTCAGGGGGCTGTTCTTGATATGGCAGATGGAAGCAACCTTGAGCTGTTTTCTGGGTGACTTCTAAGCACTGGTCTAATAAGTGACTTCAGGAACCCTTCATCCAGCCTCACAGTTATAGTGGGCAAACTGAGAGCACTGACCCAGCACTGTAAATGGTTGGTTACTCAATAGATTGTGACCCTTGTCAACCTCTCAGCTCTGTGGAGGTGTTTGGAGACGCAGCCTCCATCCCACTGACTATAGCCTCTGGGCAAGTTATTTCCTATCTTCTGTTTTCCATTTCCCCTATCCCTCTGGGAAGGGTGGCTACAAGCCTTTTCCCAACTGTTAGGTGGTGATGGGATGGGTCCTCAGGTTCTCAGCCTTCATAATGTTGCCACCCTTAATACAGTTTCTCATGTTGGGGGAACCCCAACCATAAAATTATTTCATTGCTACTTCATAACTGTAATTTTGCTATTGTTATGAATTATAAAGTAAACATCTGATATACAGAATATGAAACCCACAGGTTGGGAACCACTGTGCTATGTGCTAAAGCAAAATTTAGATGGCAGGTGGTTCACATGCTGTCATATTTAATGGAAGTTTTTGGAGACAGTTGCCACACTATTTAGCCCAAGCTGCTTGGAACTCATAACCTTCCTGTCTCTGCCTCCCGAGTGCTGGGATTACAAGTGTGTGTCACCACACCTGACTTATCTAACGGGGACTTAGTGTTTTCTGTGGGCACACTGTACTCTTCCTCTGTCATTTTGTCTGTGAAATTAATGGTGGCATGTGGAACTGGCCTCAGTGATCCAGGCCTTTCCAAATCTTGTTTCCTGATTTGGGCATCTGGTGCCAGGACAGAAGAAGGGAACTTCTTCCACTGGGCCTCAGAAGCCCTCAGAAATGTGCCTCCTACCCCACCCCAGATCCTGTGCATGGCAACCACTCTCCCATCTTCTGGGTACCTTGTGCCCCACTTCTAGGGCTCCTGCTCTTTCACTCCTCCTTCTGGGTACACAGGTCCTAGGCCACCTTTCTTGAGGGTTGCAGAGGAGATGAGCATCTAGTAGAATGTAATAAAAACCCTTGCTCTTTCCAGAAAGACAGAAGAATTGAGAGGCACCCCTTCAAAGAGAAGAAGGAAGGGAATGCCAGGAGTGGCAATCAAGTTTTATTCTAAGTCCCTTTCTTTCTTGGGCAGCTTTCCCAGGTCTCATTGGAGTGTCATTTGAGGCACCCCCACTTGCCCTGCCAGGAAAGGTGAGCACCATGAAGCCTCATGAAGCCCCATTGCAGGAAGTACTCTCAAACGTGCGTGTGCATCAGAATCCCCTTTGGCATGGGGAGAGGAAGTGCTGGGGCTCAAAAGAAAAAAAAAAGAAAAAAAGAAAAAAAAAGCAGGCTGTCTACCTCACAATACTCTAACAGCCTTGGGGTAGGCTGGCTCTGGGTTCTGTACTCTGTTGTTTCACTCTTTGAGAAACACAAGTCTAGACCTGTTCCCAGGAACAGGAATGGTGCCAGGCATTTCAAAAGGAACAAGGACTAGAGGGTGAAGGGGGTTTGCCCAGTTTGGTCCCACACCCCAGTTTCTAAGGACAGCCCTACAGGTAGAGGCTCTCACCAGCCTAGGTCGCTCTCGCTCTGTCCCTCCCCTCTCTGTTCCCAAAGGGTCTCTCAAGGAGGCCACTGAGTCTTGGTGGACAGAAGCCAGCTGAGCTTGAGAACAAACACTAACTGACCTGGGATCTTCAGGCTTTGTGGGTTCAGAGGTCCAGGAGAGTCGCATGCCCCACTCCGATCTCTGTTGTAAGGTCCAAAAAGACTGTTGAGTGTCTGCTGCTCTGCTGAGTTCCCTGTTTGAAAACAGGAAATAGGCTGAGTGATTTGCTTCTGAGGCCCCAGCTTATTGGCTGCTGAAAAATGTACATGGAATCCCATAGACAAATGTTTGCAGTGCATTGGGCAGGCCATGTGGTACAAGGCCACCCACAGGAGTGCAGTTTGACCTCACTTCTTAGCAACCTTCAGCAGCTTGCTACCTTTTAGACACCTGAACAATCTCTGGCATTTGGAGAGTGGATCCCACAGTTCTTTATTTTAGTCCTTTCCTGGAGCAATGACAGAAAACCACAGACTGAAAAAATCCACACAAAAGTTTGTTTAGCTCAATGTTCTGAGTCTGGGACATCTAAGAGCACAGTGGCAGTGTCTGGTGAGGGCTCTCCTGCCACCTGGGACATGACATGGCAGAAGGTGGATAGGCAAGAGGGAGCCTTACCTTATATATCCCAGTTTCACAGTTATGACATGAATCCCTCATGAAGTTGCCCCTCAGAAGGCCACACCTCCCAAGCCCATGTTGTTGGGATCACAGTCTAACACAAGGACTGGGGGATACATCCTTTAAGTAGTTATTGTCCTAGCTGTGAGCTAGGCATAATGGGGACCTTCATGTTCTATTGACAGACAGGGGAACTGAGGTTTGGAACACTGACTGGTGGGACACAGAGCCTGTTCTTTAGTGTGTGTGTGCATGTGTGTGTGTGTTGCTGAGTTTTATATTTTCCTATTGTTCCACTGTTACCTTAGAACAGGTAGTTAAACATGTCACTACTTTCACATTCTGGAGCTATGATGTCCATTTTCACTGTTTCTAGAGTGTCACCATGATTGCTGCACTGGTTCAATTCTTAGGCATTTAGCCAAGTCTGTGTGACTGTCTGAGTGGACTCTGCTGGGTTTTTAAGGAAGAGAGTCTCCAACTGGACTGAACTGGGCCAGGCCACTGCCTGGAGTGGCCATCTTGCACCTTCCCAGCTATTAATGAGTCCTTGACATGGTCAATACTTCTTGTAGCCATACAGTGGGCAGTGGTGTCATCTCATAGCTTACATTGTGTCTCCCAAAGACTATGGTGGATATCTTTTCATGGACATGTCTCCCACATGTCTCTTCTCTGTAGTCTATTGCTTGTCTTTTATTGAATTACTTTAATGGCTGTAGAGAGGCCGTACGTGTTCCTTTGGGTACTAGTGCTTCTTAATATCCTCTCTCTCCTGAGGCTCACATTTGCACTTAATGGATCTTGTGATAAATAGACATTGTCAACCATGATCAACTAGATCAATCTTGCCTTTCACAGTCACAGAGGTTTCTCCCTTATTTGCATCTGCTTCAACCCCACAGGTCCTCAGGAAGCTCAAGATGAGTCAAGATTTGCTGAACATTAGATGGTGTCATGCTGAATGTGAGGGCTGGCAATTGATGTAATGCTAACATCTCCATAGTTTGCCTTTCTTCTCCGGGCTCTGTGCTGCATCTCTTTACCTATTGGTCTTGTTTATGGGAACGGCACCCAATCCTGTCTCTCTGACCTGCCATCACTGTCATATCAAGAACACCCATATCCATAACAACTGGTTTCTGGCATGGGCTATCAAGAACTACTGTGCACGCTGTGCCTGTGGCCTGCTAATCCTGGTGCCAGGGGCCGCATCTCATTTGCCTCTGCCTCATGTTGCCTGGCAGAGTGTCCAGTGTGGCAAGGAGACAAGAGATTGCAGAGAGGCTGCGTTACTCTGCCCCTCTTCTTCCTACCGTGCAGCTGTCTTGCCCAATCTCTGCCCAGGCTTGAATCTTTGAGACACCACTCTCTCTACAGTGAGTGTTGAGAGCAGGCTCTACACCCTATGAGCTCCTCACAGCAGTTAGCAGCCATGGGGAAATAGTGTGACAGTCGCTGCTTCCTCTTTTAGGGCTGGGGCCCATTTTTTGGAAACCACCTGACATGGAGGTTCTGTTGGAAGAACACAAATGGGTTAGTGTGACCAGAAGACTTCGTCACCTGCTGGGTATTGGCTGTTCTCTGAAGCCCAGAGCCTGATCTGAGGAGGGGAGAGACAGACAAGGGCAATGTCTTGACCACTTGTATTGCTATAACAGAGTACCCTATGCTATATGGTTTAACCAACAAATTTTGTGTCCTGCAGTTCTGGGGCCTGGTAAATTCAAGATCCTGGCGATGGCAGATTCATGGTTTGGTGAGAGCCTGTTTCCTGGCTTGTGGATGGCTATCTTTTTGTTGTGACCATCCATAGTCAGTAGAAGGCTAGAGAATTCTCAGGGGTCTCCTTTATAAGTTCCATAAGTTCTATATAGTTCCATAAGGTCTTCACCTCATGATGTGGTAACCTCCCAAAGTTCTACCTCTCAGGAATGTAGTAGAGAAGATCGTGGTGGACCAGGACTGAACAGCAGGCATCCCTTGTGGCAATACCAAGAGCAGAAGAGGGGAGGGGGTGCCATGGAGTCAAGAGGGGGAAACTCTAGCATCTTAGATACAGGTGCCCTCTCTGGAATCCAAAGTCAGAGGTGTCTCTCCTGCCCTGACCCCTTTAGTGATGTCTCACCACATCCTGCACCAATCCAGACTATCCTCCCTCCTCCCCTCCCAGCTTCACTGCTGTGTTCCCAGAATCCCTTGCTGCCCTTAGCAGAGCCATGCTAGAGCATGGTGGAAATGTGAAGACTTGCCTGTCCAGGAGTTTCCTTTCTGGAAATACCCTTTTAAAGGTTCTTTCAATGTGGACTTTTCCTTCCCTTGGCTTGCAGCTTCCCTTCTGTCTTGCTGTTGCTTCTACAGAAGCCTGCTCTTGACCTCATGCCATCTACCACTATTGGCATATATTTTTACTTATTGTCTCAAATACCACACCTTCAAGCAGCTAGGCCCATGTTGGTGGTCTGTTCCCAGCACTCAGCACAGTGCCCACACTTAGTGGGTGCTCAGTGGGTCATTGCTGTGTGACAGAGCACATGTGGAAGCCAATGAACAGTGAGGGAATGCAGAAAAGGAATTGGGCTGCGGCTCCAGCTCAGGCCCTGACTCAGTGTGCACCTGGACCAGCTACCCCTCCTTTTTCAACCGCAAGGAGATGAAGCCTGTCTGTTTTATGTGCAAGCATTCTGCATTGAGCAATAAATTCAGTACCAGGAATTACTGCTTGCTCAATCCCCAGTGCCTCAAAAATAGAAAATGAATAAGTAAATAAATTGGTGCTCACCACCACTTCAGATATCAAGCATGCTTGAGACTACAATACTGAAACTTTTTTTTTTTTTTGAGAAGTTAAAAGGAATTGATGATCCCTGGGGAGGATCTCTCCAGGTCTGCAAAGAAACCTACGCTGTCTAAGTGTTTCGCAAGTGACCCAAAATTTGGTAATGTCACTCACACCTTTTTGCAGCTGTGCATGCATGATGAGCCTTTTCAAAGGTTATTAATTCTGCGAGACTTTAAATTGGAGCCACAGGCCATATGTGCTGCTGGCTGGTTTTGTGGCTGCATTGAGATACAGTGGGAAGGACGAGGGTGCTGGCCTCATTTCTGCACCACAGGCTTACAGAGCCTGTAACTGTGCTGAGCCTCTTGGCCTGCCCTCAACCTCAGCACAGCCAGGCTTCTTTCTGATCTGTGTCAGGATTTGCTATGAAGTGGAGGCAATGGAGCTTTTCTCATCAGGCCTGTTATGTGATGAAGATGTGGTGAGTGCTTGGGGGCAGGCAGGGGTGGTCTGAGATCTGGGTGCTCTGCTGTTTTTTCAGGCCACGCAGATAGAGGGCTACCATCTCCTGAGGAAAGTTGTTCAAGGCAGAGGCTGAGGAACTTTCTTTCTTTCTTTCTTTCTTTCTTTCTTTCTTTCTTCCTTCTTCCTCCCTCCCTCCATCCCATTCTCTCTCTCTCTCTCTCTCTCTCTCTCTCTCTCTCTCTCTCTCTCTTTTTCTTTGAGACAGGGTCTCACTTTTGTACTCTTGGTTGTCCAGGAACTTGCTCTGTACAGCAGGCTGACCTTGAACTCAGAGATCTGCCTGCCTCTGCCTCCCGAGTGCTGGAATTAAAAGTGTGTACTACCATGCTTGGCAAGGAACTGTTTTTTTCAAACACTCTGTTGGGTGTTGGAATATTTATTTTATCAAAATAAGATTTGTAAACACAGTTGAATCCAGGAGCATTATGGGACAATGAAGAAGGCGGTATATCGACAAGGAGTCAGTGGGAAAACGTGGGTGGGAGAGCTGGCTTTTATTTCTTAGTTGTCTGATATTCTTAGGCCACCCCTGTTGCTATAACAAGACACCACAGACCATCTGGCTTATTAATTATGACAGAAATTTATTTCTTATGGTTCTGGAGGCAGGTTCAGTGTCAGGACTCCTGTAGATGCTGAGGGCCCACCGAGGGTGGCTGTGCTCCATGGCTATCTTGCCATCATGGAATCCCCAGGTCTCCTTCATAGGATCACTAATCCATTCCTGAGTCAAGACAGAAGAACCACCTCCCCAACCTCCCAGGCCCTCAGGATTTCACTGTGTAAAACTGGGGAGAATTCAGACCAGGACACAGCCTCTCAGCAAAATCTTCCCAGTTTACTGATGAACTCAGGGATGGCTTAGGACAGGAAGTAGGGTGCTGATAGGATGCTAGCTCTCATTCTGAGGTGGGAATGGAGTGAGGACAGAGGCCATCCAGGACACCCAGACATACTGGGCCCTGCAGGTTTGAGGCAGCTCAATGACAAGTACCTGGCTAAACTTGTCCACCTTCCAATAAGTCACTCAACAACAAGCTGGGGTTATACCTGTGCCAAAGCAGAAGTCAGCAATGACCACTGGGTGCTTTGATCCTCCAGAAGCCTCAGTCAGTTAGGAGAGGAGGACATGCAGGGAACAGGAGCTTGAATAGAAAGCCAGCTAGGCTGATGGTACATGACACATGGGCAGCTGCTCCTCACAGCTTAGAGCACAAGGAGAGTCCCATGGGGACTGTGGAGTGTGGCCACCGAATGACAGGTAAGGCCCCAGTTAAAGGGGCAGAGAAGGGCAGAGACTTGACCAGCAGCTCCTGCTCTGGGTAGTTGGCCCACTAGAGGAAGACAGTAGCTTCTGGTGACCTCTGTTTCTTTACCTTAAGAGTACAAACCAGGGCAACAGACCACGAAGGACCCGTCTCCTGGGATCATTTGGCTGCTATGGTTTCACCCTAGTAGGCAATACTGTATTTAGGGCAGGTCTTCCCACTCAATTCACCAAGCTTCTCTGGAAATACCCTCATAGACACCCAGAAATGTGAGTTGTAGATTTTCTGGATGATTTCAGTTGGGTTGAGTTGACCACCAACATTAGCCATCACAGGCTATGTGGCTATGAGGACACCTAGCTTGTCTGCTGTGATTGAGTGTGATAAGCACCCTCGATTTGACTTTGTGAAAGAGACTCACTAGGGATGCTCCATGAAGGAAATGATGCTGGAAATACTGAGAATGGTCAGCAGTGCCTGCTTAACCTAGGTGAGTGATGGAGATCTGAACTCAGGTAGCCATGGTGGCTCTCACTGTGTGATCCTATTCTGAGAACAAACGTCTCCTCACTCAGGCAGAGAATGACAGAACAAAGTAAGGATACCACCAAAGTTCAATTTAATGAACCAACAAATTTATGGGGGTTACTTATAGGAGTATGGGGGAGGGGCTACTAGCAGCAGCAGAAATGCCTCAAAGACAGCTGCATCACCAAAGCCCACTCCAACATGGGTGACAGCCAATCAAAGCCAATGCAGAGGTGGAAGACAAAGGATGATCAGGTCTTCAAATTCATCGTCAGCTTCAGCTACCCCGTGGTCCACCTGGAATATTATACACTGTCACATAACAACGTAAGAAATTTTGGGGAGATGTGATGGCTCAGTGGGTAGAAGTGCTTGCTGTCAAGCCTGGGCAACCGGAGTTTGATCCTCAGGACCCACATGGTGAAATGAGAAAACTAACTCCTGCAAGGTGTCCTGTGATCTCTCCATTCATGTGCCAAGCATATGTGCACACACATACATAATACCCACAGACAATAAATAAATAAATGTAAACATTTTAAATAAAAAACAAAATATCCAGTCCCTCTGCTAAGACGTTGGTTATTGCTGCCTGCATAGGCTCCCATAAGTATCCTGCTAAACACCCCATAGACAGGGCTGAGCCCCACAGGGACCCCCCATTAGGGAAGAACTTCTCTTTTAAACGAAGCAGAGGCAGCTCAGCTGGCTGGGGACCACTGGAACAACACTTACCTAGAAGCAGTATGAGGTAGTTGTTAGTGCACACATAGTCGTTGGTACCCAAGGCCTGGGCTACATGCTGAGGGTGCTTTCACTGTGTGGACAGGCTAATGAACCTTCTTCCTGTGCTTCACTTTTTTCATGCAGAAGTTAGGGACAAGAATAGTATTCTGCAGGGTGTGGGGGTGATGAAGGGAGTTACTGTGAGCAGAGGCCAGCACACAACAAGTGTCAGGTTCAAAAGAAATGCCACATGAATGGCTCTTTGTGGTGCCTATTAGATATCATGCTAGCCTCCAGGCTCACTCAGTACCTGTGGTGCTCCTCAGCCCACCCCCCCACTGTAAACTTCTCCAGCTCATGGGCTTCCCTCCCCCAACTTCTCATTCCCATATAACCCTGCTGTTTTGGCCATGCATTCTCTTGGCTCATTCTCTTTTGTCTTCCTCTTTTGGTTCCTTTTCTCTTAGTTGTCTCTTCTTCTTCCTCTCTTGCTCTCCCTAATGCCCCCACCCACCCAATGACCCAGTCTTGTCTGCTGGCCAGGTTCAAGCTACTGCTTCCTCTCCCTGCTCTGGACTCTTCCAGATGCCTCTGGCAGTGCTCTCCCTCATATCTACAATAAAAACCTCCCCCTCAACCACACCTTTGAGTGATCATGTCCTCACTTTATACACAAAAACTCTGTGTCAATGTCATTATGAGGCTTCACATTCAAGTGTTTTAAAAATAACTTTAAGAGGGGCTGGAGAGACGGCTCAGTGGTTAAGAGCTGGCTGCTCTTCCAGATGACCTGGCTCAAATCCCAGCACCCACATGGCAGCTCACAACTGACTGTAACGCCAGTTCCAGGGGATATGACACCTTCACACTGATGCACAATAAATAAAATTTAAATAAATCATTAAAAATAACATTAAGAATAGGAAGTTATAAAATCAAATGAATGCAATAGAAACAAAACAACACTATTGAATTCTGATTAGGATGATGGTAGAGCCCAGCACTGTGTGGGAGGCAAGTGCTAATATGCTGTGACCTCCTCTCCTCAGCTTGCATGGGACTGACGGCCAAGGGGAAGAGAGTAACTTTAAAGTCCTAGTAAGTCTCCACCCAGCACAGCCATCTGGGAATGCAACCATCAAGACTAAAGGGCTTACAGATCCCTGGGAGGGTGCATCGGTTCCTGCTGACAGGGAGGGCTTTCCTGTCTCTTGTTCTCGGGACTCTATGGTTCCCTCCTAATTGGAAGGTGGCCCAGAAAGCCGGCCACACAAGGGCAGGATACACTGCACCGCAGGCAGGCTTCTTCCAAGATACCTGTCTTACCACCTGTCCCCAGAGGGAAATCAGGAGGGGTGTGGCCGCCCTTCCGAATCCGCCACAGTGGGCGGGGTCACTGGCTAAGTAGGTGGAACGACGGGCGGGGCAAGATCACGGAGGGAGTCACCACCAGGCGGGCGGAGGAACCCCGCGCTGCAGCTGGCGGTGAGTGCTTGCCTGCTGCTTCTGTGGTCTGCGGGTGCTCGGGGTGGTGGGTGGGTGGGTGAAAAGAGGTTTTCTGGGGGCAGACTTAGTGCTCCAGCGCCTAATGTCCCATCCCTATGATGGTGTTAACTGGCTCTGCGCTTCCTTCCAGAAGGAACTGTTTCCCTGTGGAATCATCAGCAGAATAGATAGGCTGTAGAAGGAAAGGGGCTTCTCGAGAGGGGACCCGTGTCAGACTGTGGTCACTGAAGATGAAGAGGTTTAGGGCACGGGAAGCCCATTGAGGCCCCAGGATCCTTTGAAGTCTAAGGGGAGGCTGAGGTTTGGGGGTGGCTGGGACAGTGGAGGTGAAAGCTTGCAGGTGAGGTCCTTACCCAGAAGGAGGAAATCCTGCTTTGGGTCGCAGGAGGAGCCATTCCTGGCACAGTTGTCCCCTCTCCGTGGGCCTCAGTTTCTCTGTCTTTGGTCTTCAGAGACCCCAGCTGCTGCTCCCTGATCCTTGCAGGTGTCTCCTGCCTGTCCTTACTCATTTGTAAGTGTGGGAGCTGGGGCCAAAAGCTGTTTCTGCCTGGAGAGACCCACGGCCACCTGCCCAGTGCCAGCTCAGCTTTCAAGCTTGATCCTCTCTTATGCTTCTCAAGTCATTGGTGCCTCTATGTCTGGACAAGCTAGCTCCCAAGCCTCTGGGTAGGTCTGTAGCTGGTTGAAACTCTCATGTAGGGTTTTTTTTTTTTTTTTTTTTTTTTTTTTTTGTTGTTGTTCTTTTTTTTCAGATCCTGCAGGGTCCTGGCCTGGGGCAGGCTGTTGGCTTTCCTGCCCTAGGGGGAGTATGATCTCCCCCTAGGGCCAGGGTTCTGCAGGGTCAGAAAAGCTGGCTCCATCAGCCACCTCTGCCCAATTGGGGAAAAGACCAAGTGACAGCTCTGTTGCTTCTCTTCCAGTCAGTCTGTTGTGAGGCTATTGGAGGCCCTGGTTTCTTGGCCATTTGATGCCAGGTGGTCTCCACATGCAGCTCCAAGCTGGCACTGGCCCACACTTTGCCCCTCTCTCTCACCCAGGTCAGCACTCACTGTGGCCCAGTGAGCAGGCACTTCCTACTAGCCCATTGGCTAAAGTCTGTGCCTTGTAATGGCTACTCTCTGGTTCCACAGCTACCTCCCCAAGCTGTGTGGAATAAAGACATTCTCATTCATTCAGACCAGTCTATTCACAGGGTGAGGCACAGGGTCCAGAGAGGAGCTCCAGCAGTGTATCATGATAATGCTTGCCATGGCAGATGATGAAAAGGACTGTGGGGAGAAAATGCTGGGACAGGGCTTGGGGACCACAGTTCTACATAGCATAGGAAGGCCCCTCTGAGACAGTGGCCACTGAACAAAATCTTAAGGAGGTGATGGGCAAGTCATGTGACTATCTGTGGGACAGAGAGTGCCCTGTGAGCATAAAGCTTAGGCAAAGGCAGGAGCACCACAGACCAGAGCAGGCTCCCTTGTTCTGAGAGTGAGGAAGCAGGTGAGGGGCTACAGCAGGGTGGGAGTCAATGGAGGCTAGGAGGAAAGGGGTGGAAGTTGAGGTCTCTTGTATTGAGCTTGAGGTTGCTATAAAGGCTTTTGGCTTTCGCTTTGACTATGATGAGATCCACTAGTGGGCTGGGCTGTGAACAGATAAGGTCTCTGCTCTGACTTAAGATCTGGCAGGTTCATCTAGTTGTGTGACTAACATTGACCTATAGGGGGTCATGGCAGATGAAGGAACCATGAGAAGGCTTCAGGGCTTATGTTGTGGTATAGAGAGAGGTGGAGAGAGAAACTGTGGCTTTCAGATTTGGGGTCTGTTGAAGGCTGGGTGGATGGTCTGTGATGCCCGAGAGCGGCAGAGTCAAGGATGACTCTGGCAGTTTGGGGCCACTTTCAGTTGAGAAAGGAGCTAGCTGTTAGGAGGAAGGTCCAGTGATTGAGTTGTTTGGAGATGCTGGTAGGTACCACATGATGTTGAATGTTGTCCAGAACTGTCAGTGACATTTCAGGCATCACTGCCACATAGTTGGGAATTTAAGCCTGTGGGGAGGTGGGCTTATGTGGGGAGAGAGTGGCTCAGAGAAGTGGCAGTGATTCAGTTCGGCGGCAGTACAGAGGTGTGTTATCAGCCTTGGAGGCAGAATGGCTAGAAAGAGTAGCTAGCATGTGGGAAGGAAGGTCAGAGAAATCCTTCATGGCCTCAAGAGACGTGCTCCAGGGAGGAGAGTGAACAGGTAGAACAAAAGTCCTTGTCAGAAAGGAAGACCAGGAACAGAAGGCCAAATACTGGAAGTCATGGTTTGCATTTTCACTTGTAATGGTTGTGGGGTGGGGGGGAAGGATGAAGGGAGGACTGGGAAGTTCAGGCCTAGACAAGGGAGGGCAGAAATGAAGGATGAATTAGTTTGTTTGTTCTATGATGGGAACTGATGTCCTGGGGAGCAACTCAGTGGAGATGGAGAGTGGGGTTAGTGCCCCAGGGAAAGCTTGGCCAGCCAGGACCAGGACACTCTTCTGGGGACCTCCCTTCCTCTCCCATCTGCTGGAGGCCTGGGACACTGCAAGGATTGTTCAGCTCTCAAACAAATCCTCAGCTGGGAACTTCAAGGAAAACCAGGCTGCCTATGATCCTGGGAAGGAAGGAGGTGCTGGGGCACAGGCGTGTGCATGAGCACGTGTGTGTGTGTGTGTGTGTGTGTGTGTGTGTGTGTGTGTTTGGGGGCGTGGGGATGAGAGGGGCTTTTTTTCATTTTTATTTTTACTTTTAATTTTTTTTGGTTTTTTGAGACAGGGTTTCTCTGCGGCTTTGGAGGCTGTCCTGGAACTAGCTCTTGTAGGCTCACTTCAAACTCACAGAGATCTGCTTGCCTCTGCCTCCTGAGTGCTGGGATTAAAGGCATGTGCCACCACCACCTGGCTGAGAGGGGCCTCTGTAGATACCCTTGACCCTCTGTTTCAGCAAGCTGGTGCCCCCTTTGTTTGGGTTCCGTCTTGCAGAGCCTAAGAGTGACTCCAAGGTGGCCCTAGCTGGATAGAGAAGAAAAGGCAGGGAAGCAGAACAGCCTGTTTAACCTGGAGAGGACGAGTCTGACTGAGTAGGAAGGTGCAGGAACAGGATACTAGACCAGCTTTTATGAAACAGGTGACAAGAGCATCTATCGTTTTGCTTTTTCTTCCAAATTTAGCCGAACAAGATAAACTAATGAAGGACTCCTCAGCTGGTCAGGACGATAGTATCAACCCCAGGTCTTCTTTTCCAGCTGCTTAAGATGAGATAGAAAGATGGCCTACTCAGAGGCAGGGGACTGGCAGAATAGGTCTGTGGGGCTATGCCTTGCTTTGTGGTATGCAGGAGACTGGCAAGATGGGACTTTCCAGCTGTGGATGGAGGCAGAGCACCGAGCCACACGGCTTTCCTGCCTCACCCTGCCTGTGTCCACAGGACTGACGTCATTGTCTGGGTGTGTATGGTTTGGGTATCTGGCCAGCTCTTGGAATATCTGGAGAGAGCTCCTGCTCTCTCCCAGTTGTTTCTATCCTGGGCAAGCACATTTATTGGAGACATCTCACATCCCTAGGGTCTTTGACTGAAAGCCAGTGCAGATGTCCCAGGCTTTGTGCCAGGACTGCCAAGAACTAGCAAGTTCTGGGTGCTGGGCTGCCAGCTCAGGCTTCCTGCTCAGCTTGTGGGATTTCCCCTAGGGTGGGTCAGCTGGATTAGGGACTGCCTGTGCAATGCCTCTGGGCCTTTTGGCTCATGTGCTTGCAGAAGAAGGAAGCATTAAGTGTCTTACCCAGTACCCTGAAGATAAAGTGAGCCAGGCATCCCATTTTAGCACTTTCCATCCTCTGTACTTCCCGGCTGCACCTCAGACCTCAGGCCAGAGTGCTTGCCCTTGCCTGTGTGCTGTTCTCTTGGGGCGGGAGATGGGGGGGCAGTAGTTACTTTCCTCAGGACCTGAGCAGGGGTGGTGGGTTAGATGGTGCTCCAACTATGGCTAGTTTTGCACAGATGAGAAACACTCCATGACTTGGCCCTAGCTCATGCTGGCACTTGCTGTTGTCCCCCTACCCCTTACTCTAGGATCCTCTGCTTGGATTGAGCCCAGGGCACGGGTGACCTGCTTGGCCAGTGAGAACTCTCAGCTTCTGGCTTACAGTAGCTCCATAATAGGGATACCTTCTCTCCTAAGCTGCCAGAGGCTCAGGTAGCTTCCCTACCTCACTTTGCCCATCTGGCCAGCCCCAGGCTGCCGGCCTTCATGTTAGTAACATGGTGCTGAGTTAGAGATTGAAGATAGCCCCAGAGCATTCCAGCCCCAGGCCTCCATGGGTGTGTTTAGAGTTAACAACCCCAGGGCTTCCACTGAACCCAGTGCTGGGCAAACCTTTGGGGGTGTCAGAATGAGGGAGATCTAGCCTGCTGTGGGAGCCAGCCATAGAGGGAAGATAACCACTATCTAACAGGAAAGGCTTAGACTCCCTAGACCATTTCCAGCTGCCCCCTCTCCACTGCAGGACCTTCTTAGAATGTCCCTGGTTGTGAAAGGAAACCTTTGTTCCTCTTCCTCTGTGCCTGTACTCTTTCGCTTTCATTTTCTCTGGGCACAGCCCCAGCCCTTATCTTGGACAGTGGCAATGACAAACTGGCCCACTGAAATGTTCTGATTTTTCTCTGCAGCTCAGCAATCTCCATTGCCTGAGGTTTCTGATGGTCCCTTCCTTTCAAAGCCCCAGCACTTGGGACTGAATGAAGGCTGAGCTCAGTACTGGCTCCTGAGCATAGCAATAGCAGGGTGGCAAGCAGTGTGTGTTGCTGAATGCATGGGAGGGAGCAAGGGCCTAAGGGCGTGTGTGTGTGTGTGTGTGTGTGTGTGTGTGTGGTGTGTGTGTGTGTGTCTGTGTGTCTGTGTGTGTGTGTGTCTGTGTGTGCGCGTGTCTGTGTGTGCGCGTGTCAGTGTGTGTGTTGCTGTTGGGTGGTGTACCAGTAGGCTTCAAGCCAACTTCATGTGTACCCTGACATCCTATTTTACCTGGATTGACATCTTTGCTGCAAGCCCTAGCTTTGCCCATGGAGCAATAATAGGTTATGTGCAGAGGGCAGGGCTGGGGGCCTGTGGGGATACCAGTAAGAGACAAAGGTTTGCATCAGGCAAGGAATCCCACTACTTGGGTTCCAATCCCAGCCCTGTCCCTCCAAGCTATGATAAATACTACAAAATTTCTTTTAGCTCAAGCTCCCTCTCTGTAGATGGGACTGGCCACAGCACCTGCTTTCTAGAAGTTGAGAGTGGGAAATGCAATGTTTTAATAAGGCACTTAGGATGTCCTTAAAGGATCCAGTGGTTCCAAAGCTATATGACTGTGAGTGTGGCCTGCCTCTGTAGAAGGGAACTGATCTGCAGGAGACTACTTCTCCTGTCAACACTGCCTTGTGAAACTTCCTAAGGTAGAGAGCAAGCATTGCTATGGGAGCCCAGGGCTTGAGGATATAAATGTCTGGCTACTTTAAACTTGTGGGAACTCCAACTAGTTTCTTGACATCCTGGGACCTCACTTTGTAGAGAACTTAGCCTGGAGAATGCCTGAGCACAACTGTAGCCCACTTGGACTTGGAGTAGGTTGCTCTCTACATAGCCTGGTTTTTAGAGAAGTCATTTTCTGACCTCTGACCTCCCCTTCTCTCTTACAGGTTGTGACATGTGCTCACAGGAAGACTTCCAGGCACAGAGGAGCCAGCTGGTGGCACTGTTGGTCTCGGGGTCCTTGGAGGGCTTTGAGAGCATCTTGGACTGGCTGCTATCCTGGGATGTGCTGTCCTGGGAGGACTATGAGGGCCTTAGCCTCCCTGGCCAACCTCTCTCCCATTCTGCCAGGCGCCTACTGGACACAGTCTGGAACAAGGGTGATTGGGGCTGTCAGAAGCTCCTTGAAGCTGTCCAGGAGGCCCAGGCCAACAGTCATACTCTGGAACTGCATGGCTGCTGGGACACTCACTCCATTCAACCAACCAGAGACCTGCAGAGTCACCGGCCAGCCATTGTCCGGGGACTCTACAACCATGTAGAAGCCATGCTGGAGCTGGCAAGAGAGCAAGGATTCCTGAGCCAGTATGAATGTGATGAGATCAGGCTGCCAATCTTCACATCATCCCAGAGGGTAAGCAGTGGCCTGTGTCAGCAGAATTCACAGGGGCAGGCTGCTTAGTTACCAAGACTGTTGTTCTTGTGCAGTCAGCCTCACGGAATAGCATGATTGGTGAGATTTCCCATGCAGCATCGACCAGCCAGGTCAAAGTTGCTCTTGGTTGTACCAGCAAGTCACTTTTGGTGGGGGCATCTGTGGCTTGGCAGTGAGGGCTTGGACTCAGTAGCCAGAATGATTCAGGTTCTAGGTCAGTTTTGTGTGACTGGATGTTTCTATATAGAAGCTCTCCATCTAGTTCTCCTCTCTTTTCTCTTTTATTTTGCTTGTTTGCAGTGCTGGGGCCTTTTGCTCTACCCCAGCCTTAGACTCTACCCTTCATTTCTCCCATCCCAGTTTCCTCATTGAATGACACTATTAATCTCTGATGCTCAAGGGTTTGGGGAGAACTCACTGAGTTAATCCATGTATCAATTAGAGACGTGTCTGGGAAGTCTGCTAACATCATCTCTGGCTGCTGTCATTTCTGCTGAGTGGCTCTCTGTACTTGCAGACTTTTATTGCTGTCTGCTTCAAATCAACAGCTCAATGGAGAATAATTCTGCAATATATTAAACCTGAATTTAATAGTATAGCCCACTGTGTGCCAATATAGTTTAAATGCCCACCTAGGATTTCAGATATGAAACTGCGTTCGAATTGGCAGGTAACTGCCCCTGAAATGCAGTGATTCTACAGAAACCGCAAGGGCAGAAAAGTATTGCTGTGCATTTCTGAAACTTCTGTTTTCCTGTAAATGGTGGTCCTCAGGCTGCCTGGGAAGCATGGAAAATAGTGATACTCTACTTTACAGTTTTGGGAAATCTGCAGTAGTGAAGGAGCAGTCAGTGGTGGACTTTGGCCTTGACTTGTTCCTTTAGTCGGAATCTATTAGGCTTACCGTATGGCAGGTTCTGTGTTAAAGCTGTGTTGAGACTTTGCAGGTGATAGGTGTTTGTTTGGTCAGCACTCGTTGATGAGATGTGTAAGTTAGTAGAACCACATATATTTCAGTGCGAGGATGGGCAAGTTGGACTTCAGGTGGGTTTGGGTAGGCAAAGGTCTTGGTGGATATAAATGAGCATCTGTTTCCAGTGTTGTTTTCCAGCTGCTGGAGGTGGCTAAGTCTTTACAGCACATTCATGACCTGGGCCTTCTCACTACTGCGTGCGGGGCCTGAAGGTGTGTCTCAGTGTGCCTTCCCTTAGCATTCAAAAGCACCTATTTCTTGTTCCTCCTTGGTGCCTCCTGTGACCGGTTGGTTGTAGGGGCAGAATCAGCTCACACAGTAGTTACCAGATTGGACCTCCTCACCTTTGATCTAGTGTTCAGCAGTGCATTCTGGGAGAGATTCTCTGAAGGGTTTGAAGAACGCCACCAGATGCTTAGGCCCTGGAGGAGGTGGGAGCAGGAGTACCTAAAGTATTGGGATTGTCCTAGAAAACAAAATGGAATAACTTACAGGCCAAAGAAGCAATCAGTGGATGTCTGTAGATACCCAGAAGGAAACAGAAAGGAGAGCATGACCTTCCCCTATCTATGGGATGTAGCAGAATGGGGGGGCCTTTAACCTACTGGGAAGGAGAAAGGCTGGGTTTCCATGAGCATAGTCGGGCTTTACGCCTTTAATCCCAGCACTCAGTGAGTTGCCGGCCAGCCAAGTCTACATGGTTAAGGAAGGAAGGAAGGACTAAGTGGACCACAGAAGCCATCCCTGAAGATGAGGGAGTGAGCCAGGGGATGGGACAGAATAACAGCTCTGAGGATTTAGAGGTGCCAAAGGTGTCCCACAGCCTGAAGTTAATTGATTAAAATCCACCTTTTCTTAGTTCCCTTCAGCTTTGGCATTCCACGGTCTTGGCTTTCTTTCCCTCAGTGGCTCAATTTCTAACTCAGTGTAGGTAGCACTTTTGGCATTTCCAGCAAACATGTCTCTAGCATTAACCCTTTTCTTTGTAGAGATGGCTATCATTGGTTGAAGGTTGGGAACTGAAAACAGGTTGTGGAATAAAGCAGAATGCAAGTTAAAGAGCCCCCTTTGCCCCTGTTTTCTGAGCAGGTGCAGAGAGGGTGTGCACTAGACACGGGACCAGCCTTCTCTCTAGTAGCCCAGTTAAGCCCTGCTACATCCTTCTGTCAACGGAAGGTGTGTTTGTTGAGAATGAAGGACGAATTGCCCATTTGGGAAGGGCTAGCTAGAAACTGAATCTAGGTCTGTTTCTTTCCAGGGAGTGTACACTTTCCTTTGTGTCATAAGATGTGAAAGCGCTGTGTAGTTTTACTCATCTGGGTATAACAGTTGTTGGGAAACCTCAGGCTGGCAACGCCAACTGTGATACCAGCTGTCCCTGTGACTCATGCAGATGCTGAAGCCAGTGGGGCTGAGGTGACAGACTGAGCTCCAATTTGCTTGCTCCTGTCACAGTACAGACTTAAACAGTTTCAAATTGGGAAGTGTACTATGTCTACAAAATAGTGTATGCATTTCCTATGTCTAGGGTAAAAACTTCCCTATATCCAGAAACTGCATGTGATTGGTACCCTGTCCTTCAGGTGCATCCAGTAGAGGTAACCAATTATCTGGCTTGTCTGTTAATCATTCCTTTGCTTTTCTTTATGGTTTCCAAACCATATATTTTATTTTTAAAAAACAAAGTGGCAAGCTAAACATACTGATGTCAGGAAACAGCAACATTGCCTTTTCTTCTCAGATGGAGGCTCCAGGTCAGAGCAACTTACCAGGGTCTTAGGATGTGGCCTGGCTTCTCCTTCCTTGGGAGTCTATCAGGGACCCACTAGTAGGTCAGTGACAAGGTCATTGGTGAGTGTAGGGAAATCTTGGACTTGTTCAAGCTGGAGCATCTGTCAGAGGTGATGTGGGAAGGATGCCTGGGAATGTGGTCCCAGGAAGTGGGCTGTGCTGCCCAGACTGCTCTGAGCTCATTAAAGCCAGTTCTGACTCCCAGGTACAGGTCGGCACTTCTGTGGATGACACCATTGTTCTCAGATGACATAGGCTGGTTTACTCCATTTTGGATATATATATGGAATTGAATTTTCTGAGTGTCTAAAGATTCCCTCATAGTTGACTGATTGCTTGACTAGGGATAAAGTCCAAGTGTCACATCCCAGCTACTTGGGAGTCTAGGCAGGAGGAGAGCAAATCTAAGGACTGTGTGTGCTGCAGAGTGAGGGGGTGTAAGGATGGTCTGGTCCATTTGGTGAGACCCTGTCTCAAAGTAGAAGGCTCTGGAGTTCTACATGAGTAGTAGAGAGCCAGTGTGTGGTGCCCCAGGCTTTATTCCCAGCACTGAAAACGCACAAACAAACATTCTGGCCATCATTTTCCTTTGGAATTTTGGTGGCACTACTTGGTCATTGGCCTTGTATAGTGCTGCCATGAAGACTTCAAAGACCATTTCTGTCTCTTTCTGAAAGTAGTCAAAAGTCCATAATATGCTGAATTTTTGTGATCATCTGCCTTGGGTGCTGGGTATTCAAGAGGTTGTTTGAATACAGAAACTCGAAACTTTGTGCTCAATAAATTCATCTGATGAGTATACTGGTGATTTTAATATATTGTTTCTCCCTCCCCCACCTTTTCATTGTTTTTTGAGTCAGTGTTTCTCTATGTAGTCCTGGCTGTCCTGGAACTCGCTCTGTAGATCAGGCCAGGCCTCGAACTCACTGAGATCTGCCTGCCTCTGCCTCCCAAGTGCTGGGATTAAAGGTGTGAACAACTACCGCCCAGCCTCCCTTTCTACTCTCTTTTTGAAACTGCAGCTGCTTGAACACTGGGATTTCTAGATGAATCCTCCAGTTTTTCTCTCCATTTTTCATTGCTGTTTTTTTTTTTTGCTGTCATTTTGAGACAGGATCTTACACTATAGCCCTGGCTGGCCTGGAACTATTATGTAACACAAATTTGGGGCAATCCTCATTCTTTAGCCTCCCAAGTACTGGGACTACAGGTACAAGCCACCACAGGCGACATTGTGCTGTTTTCTGTATGGTATTTTCAATTCTGAACTCTTGAAGTTTCCATCTTTGCTTACATTTGCAGTGTGCAAAGGTTTTTGCTGTTCCTTTATTACAGTTTCTTGCTCTTGTTTTAGGGATATAGTCTTTTATGTAGACCTAATGATACTAATAGTTGGTTTTCTCATTTGTAGGGTTGGTGGGATTGTTTTATTCATGCTACATACTTCTTCATGTTGGGGATGGAACCCAGAGCTTTGTTCATGCTAAGCAATTGCTTTACCACTGTGTGACATCACTTGCTCCCTGCATAAACCTTTGAACCTTCACATTGTTTTCCCTTGCCCACTAATTTGGCTCTGATCTCCCATATCTGACACTTTCTTTGGGTACTGGTAAGCCTTTGTTGTTTGTCTTATTATTAAAATGACAGATTTTGAAACTTACTGAGCAAGCAGGTGAAACATCCCTGCTGCGACCTCTACAATAGATAGTCAGTAAATGGCAGTGTTTCTAGCCATAAAGTCTCCTGCCTGGTGTAAAGGTCTAATTGTAGAGGTCTAATTGGGAATCTACAGGATGAGTGGTTTGGGTAGTGGCAAGGTAGCCTTGGCATTCATTTTGCACATGGTCATTTAAAACCTGGCTTTGGGATGTGGCAGCCACTCTTTAGTTGTGCCAGGATTCTCCCAGTACTGGGATCCTCTTTCATCCTATCAGAATGCAGATCTTCAGGCTGCCATGGCAGCAGCAGGGACAGCATCTAGTGGAGTGGGGAAGAAAACCTGGTGATTAATGTCAAATTCTTTGACTTGTTCCTTATCTTCATTGTCTCCTGTGTTACAGACATACTTGATCCTGCCATACCAGAGCTCTTGGTGGACTGTAGGGTGAGCATGGAATGCTTTTCAATAGCAGCATTCTCGTTTTAGGGCTTAGACTTCAGGAGTCTTCTACCATCCACCCATGTATCCAGGGATCCAACCACCCATGTATCCATTTATCCATCCATCCATCCATCCATCCATCCATCCATCCATCCATCCAAGTCCTTTCATACTGCCTCTGTCATCATGACTCCCTCAGTGAACAAAACAGAAAACCTTGTTGTGCAGATGTTCACACTTCAGCTGGGGATAAACCATAACAGAAGGGAGCAAGCAAACTGCAGAGTTTGGAAGGTGTCACGTTCAGTTAGTATAGGAGTTAAATCTGTCTGTTGAGAGTTCCCAGGGAGGGAAGTAGTGATTTCATTTTCCCATAGGGTTGTTAGAGAGTTCTCATTAAGAGAAGACTTAAAATGGGTGATAGAGTTAGGCAGACACTGGTGGGAGTTGGCACTCTAGACAGAGATGTAGTCAGCAAACATCCTGAAGTAGGAACATATAGGCATGCTCATTAAATGGGAGGGAGGCCAGTGCTAACTGGAGCATTCAAAGGGAAGAAGAGGTGACAGCCAGGAAGAGATGCAGTCTGGGCTCTCAGGTGAGGATGCTTGTCTGTTTTGGATCTTCCTAAGGAGGTTAGCTACACTCACACAAACATAGGCAATAGATAATCCCATATTACCAAAAGCCAAAAAAAAAAAAAAAAAAAAAAGGGAAACACACACACACAGTACCACCATCACCACCACCAAATCAAAAAAATAACAGGAATCAACAATCAATTGTCATTAATATCTCTCAATATCGACGGTCATAATTCGCCTATAAAAAGACACAGGCTAACAGAATGGATACGAAGACAGAATTCATCCTTTTGCTGCATACAAGAAACACACCTCAATTTCAAAGACAGACATTACCTCAGAGTAAAGGGTTGGGAAAAGATTTTCCAATCAAATGATCCTAAGAAACAAGCTGGTGTAGCTATCCTAATATCTAACAAATTAGACTTCAAAATAAAATTAATCAAAAGAGATGAAGAAGGTCATTTCATATTCGTCATAGGAAAAATCTATCAAAATAAAGTCTCAATTCTGAACATCTATGCCCCAAATACAAAGGCACCCATATTTATAAAAGAAAACATTACTAAAACTTAAATCACACATAAAACCCCACATACTTATAGTGGAAGACTTCAACACCCCACTCTTACCACTGGACAGGGCTACCAGACAGAAACTTAACAAAGAAATAAAGGAACTAACAAAAGTTATAATTCAATTGTGTTTAACAGACATCTATAGAACATTCCATCCAAACACACAATAATATACCTTTTTCTCAGCACCCCATGGAACCTTCTCTAAAATCAACCACATATTCAGTAACAAAGCAAACCTCAACAGATTAAAAAAAAAATGGAGTAACCCCCTGTATGGTATTGGATCACCATAGTTTAAAGTTAGAATTCAACAACAACACAAATTGCGGAACGCCTACAAACTCATGGAAATTGAACAATGCTCAATTGCATCACTCCTGGGTCAAGGGAGAATAAAGAAAGAAATTAAAGACTTCCTAGAATTCAGTGACAATGAAGATACAACTTATCCAAACTTATGGGACACTTTGAAAGCAGTACTAAGAGGAAAGTTCATAGCTCTAAGTGCCTACATAAAGAGAGCTTACCAGTGGACATGGGCTGTAGCTGGGATGTTTTTGCTAGGGCTGTGAGGTTTGACAGACCTGTGAAGTACTCGCCTCTGGCCATGAAGCACTGTCCTCTGGCTGTGGTGCTGGGGATAGACTGCAGTGTAGAGACAGGCAGTTATGCAGTTTCCATGTGAGCCACAGCATGCCGTGGAGCAAGACAACAATAGGGCTCACGTGTGCAGGGCTCTGTAGCTTGGAGATATCAGCTTCTGGGTGGCTGCTAAGCACCGCCACACAGCTGGGCCACACCAGGAGTCTAAATGTAGCAGCTGTGGAAGACTTAACAGAAAAAAAGCAACACATTTCATTATTTTTTGTTGGCAATGTGTTGAAATGGCAATATTTTGGATGCTGTGGTGAAGTGTGATCTGTGACTAAGCTTAAGTGCACCTATTACTTGTCCCTGAAGAATGTGGCTGTTAGAAGGCTCCAGTGCACATGTAACTTGCTTGTAGGCCTTGGGTTCTGTTTCTGATTCTGGTCCTTTGAAGGTGGAGGCCACAGGATGTGTTGATGAAGTGCAGAGAGGGGACTTCAAGGTGACTTCAGATGTTGGGCTGAAAATCTAGAAGGATGGAGGAAACTTGAGCTGGAATGAGGAAGGCTATGGACCTACGGGACAAAAAGGGCTGAAAATCTAGAAGGATGGAGGAAACTTGAGCTGGAATGAGGAAGGCTATGGACCTACGGGACAAAAATGCCCAGCGTGCGTGTGCGCGCGTGTGTGTGTGTGTGTGTGTGTGTGTGTGAGTGTGTTTATGACACATTGGAGTGGAGGAAGAAAATGGGTGTGCAGATGCTAGACTCAGGGGACAGTTGAGGTTGGGAAAGAGTGGGCTCTGTGCAGAGAGAGAGTTCAAACATTCAGGCCACAGGACTTGATGAGGCCCCTGCCTTCCGAGTGGTCTACAGCTTCTAGAATCATTTTCTGGTTTTGTAGATTGGTAGATTTAGGTGTTTATTTATTTTGTCATTTTATTTCATTTTTAGCTACTCATTCTTTCAGTGGGGTTAGAGAAAGAGCCAGGCTGGCTGTGTGTTTGTTTCACCAACCACGACTACATATCTTTGTTTGCTAAATGCAGGCTGTGTCACAGTTGTTTTTCTGGGCTCTCATTATGATAGAAGAGGACTGTGTATAAAATTGTATTATTGGTGAAAGTTTCTTTTATCTTAAATGCTTGGCACCAGAAGTGTTTCAGATATTTGTTGGGGGGGGAGTTAGAATATTTCTATAAACAATGAATATCTTGGAATCTCAACCATGTCTAACCACAGAAGTCATTTATATTTCATATACACATGGCCTGGAGGAAATTTTCCACAATGTTTCGATTTTCCATTTGTAATATCATGTCAGCTCTCAAAATGTTTAGATTTATTAAGAGCATTAAGATTTGGGGGTCTTCTGATTAGGTAGTCTAACTTTTAATAGAAACCATCCCACACTCCTCCTCCAGAAGTCTTCTTGAAAAGAGTAATGGCCTTTTCTTGGTCTGTAGGCAAGAAGGCTGCTTGACCTTGCCACAGTGAAGGCAAATGGACTGGCTGCCTTCCTTCTACAGCACATCAAAGAACTGCCTTCACCATCCCTGCCTTATGAAGGTATGTATTTGTCCCTTCTGGTTAACCAGAAAACAAAAGGAAGTCAACTCAGATTCCTGGTTAGAGAGCAAAGCACACATCAGTTAACATCCATGGATCGGTGGGTTATTCCTCCAATCAGTTCCTCCATTTGAAACCTACCAGCTACCCGACTCATTTGGCAGCAGTCAATATTCAAAGTATGACAACATAATGGCTTTCCCCATTTCAGTGCTCCCTAAAAACTACACAGTGCCCACTGGCGCTGTCCAAACTGCATTCCATACCAGGAACAGATGGGACTGGAATCTCTTGATCCATAGAACCTAGTTTCTCATGATCTGGAACTCATAACCACAACTACATAGAGAATGTAGTCTCATTCATGTTTATGCTCACCAGCTGAGCAGTGCAAGAGGCCTTGGTGGCACAACTGAGACATGCCTGGCAGCCTGCCATGCGCTTTATGGGCATTCTCTACCACTTGTCAATAGCCCTGAGAAGTGGATATTGTTATGTTCCATTTCACAGGTAGAAAAACTGAGAGTTGAGTAGCAAAGAACAGGGAAGTGGATCTGACTGTATTTGTCTCTATCTTCCCTCCTTGGGAGAAATCATCAGTTCAGGCAGGATACAAGTCTGGCACTCCCCCAGTTTTGCTCCCACATAACTGAGAAGGAAGCTAATGTGGACTGAAGATCCATGAACTGTGTGCCCAGAGCTAACAGATGGGCTTATCATTCTGACCTTGCCCTCTGTGCAGAAGAAAAGCCCGTGGGCAGGGTGGCTGGAGGCCCATGCTTGGTACTCAGGTGTAAACTATTTCACAGAAGAGCAGGATGTGGACACCACTGTATGGTAGCAAATATGGCCCCTGGTGAGCATTTGCTGATGGTGCCATCAAGTATAGCTGGCCATATAGGCATTATACATTTCCCTGATGCGAGATGCTTCTAAAGGTGACAATTGAGCAGGTGGACATGGTGCAGGCACCTGTAGTTAGAGGCAGAGGGATCAGGGAGTTCAAGATCACCTCCCATTACAGTAACAAGTTGTAAGCCATGAGACTCTATCTCAAGAAGAAAAAAGTAAAAATTGTAAAGAAAAATTCATTTTCTTTAAAATGAAAATGAGATATTCTTTAATTTACTCTACTCTCATTTTACATTTATTTACTTATCTACTTACTTTTATCCGTGTGTGTGTGTGTGTGTGTGTGTGTGTGTGTGTGTGTGTGTGTACACATGCATATGAATGCACTATGGCAGGCATGGGCGGTCAGAAGACAAACTGCAAGGGTTGGCTGTCTGTCTCCCTTCATCATATGGATTTTAGAGATCGAACTCAAATCATCAGGCTTGGTGACAAGTGCTTTTACCCTCCCCCTTTGGGTCATCTTGCCAGGTCTATGTTTGTTTGAAGCTTTTAGTAATAGTGGTAATGGCTAGAGACTAGCATTGTAAGTCAGGGAACTGGAAAGGAGGCTATGTATCTTTTGGTGTTTGGTCAATGCTCCTGATATAGCCAAAGAGTAGAATGAGCCACAAGGATCCTTACCGCTGGGAACAGGTGACATTGAATACTGGGTATGGTGGCACAACCTCTAATCCCAGCTCATAAGGAGGCCCAAGCAGAAAGATTGCTAGTTCGAAGCTGGTCTGGGCTCCATAGTGAAATTCCATATCAAAAAAGAAAATAAAAAGAAGGGATATCAGCATGGGGCAAATGCTTTGCTTGGCTCTGGTTGGTACTTCTGTGGGCTAGGAGCTCTTTGACAAGAACTTGCTTGCCTCTGAGTTGAGAACAAATGGGCTGGTGCTTTACTGGGGCCTTTGAAGTCATGGTGGGGTGAAGATGCTGGCATCCTCTGACGTCCTGCCAGCCTGAGCCTCTGACCAGCGCTTCCCTATTTCCTAAAAGAGGAACTGAGCTCCCAGGAGGAAGTGCTTTGTACACTCAGTAGGGCCCTGAGTGCAGAGGGGCAGGAGGAGAAAGGGACAAGAAGGAAGTATTAGACGATCTTGTTGAGGACTTGGCGCAGGCGCTTGGTGACCCTGAGTTTCCAGAGTTAACCTCTGCTTCTGGCCAGTCCATTTGGCCATATAAGGTAACACAGCTATGGGTTCCGGGAATTGGATCTGTACACCGTCTGTGACCACTTTCCCTGTTGTGGTATGCAATACTTGACAGAATTAACTCGAAAAAGGAAGGCTTGTTTTTGATACCAGTTTAGGACTGTCCGTTGTGGCCAGGAGGATTGGTGGCTAGTGTGGCTTGACCCATGGAGTGGTAACACAAGAGGCTGATTTTGTTACAGCCACAGATGGGAAGCAGAGAGTGGAAGTAGGCCAGGCTGTAACATTTGAGTCCTACCCCCAGGCGAGCATGTCAGCCAGCTAGCCCTGTATTCTAAATGTTCACTTCTACCAAAACAGTACTATCAGCTGGGGACCAAACATTCAGACACATAAGCCTGTGGGGCCATTTCAAATGAAGGTCTTGGTCGTCCCCATTTCTATAGATAAGAAAACTAGATCCTAGCAAGGCCATGTAGCTTGCCAAGTAGGCGGTAGGGCCAGATGTCAGACTTCAGAACCTGGACCCTGTCCCTTATTTTCCTTCAGAAACTGGTGGTGGGGGATGAATGGTGTCTCAGGCCACCCAACAGAAATCGACAATCAGGATACAGATCCTGTGAGGTACTCCTCACAGGAAAGTGCCAGTACTGTCCCTGGCACTTTCAGGTGTGCATATTAAGTATGACAGTGGCCAATGTTTCTGTGTTGAATGCTATACTTACCAGGTGGCATGTATCATCCGTGTTTGCCCATGTCAAAGTTCTCTGACATTTCCCTGCTTTGCAGGGGAAGAACCAGGTTTAGGAAGCTTCCATGGCTGTCCCCAAAGCCCACAGCTTATAAGTGGACAAGATAGGATAGATGCCCACCAGCTCTTCTCTCTGAGCCACGCATCGCATCCACCATGTAGGTTTCCCTCTGTGTAGGTCCCGTTTTGACCACAATTTCACCCTCATTTGCCTCTTCTGTATACCAGCTGCTGAGTGTCAGAGGTTCGCATCGAAGCTGAGGACCATGGTGTCAGCCCAGTCTCGCTTCCTCAGTACTTATGATGGGTCAGAGAATCTTTGCCTGGAGGATATATACACGGAGAACATCTTGGAGCTGCGGACAGAAGTGGGCATGGCTGGGGCCCTGCAGAAGAGCCCTGCCATCCTGGGCCTGGAGGAACTCTTTGGTACACATGGCCATCTGAACAAAGATGCAGACACTGTACTGGTGGTGGGGGAAGCAGGCAGTGGCAAGAGCACTCTCCTGCAGCGGTTGCTCTTGTTGTGGGCAACAGGGCAGAACTTTCAGGAGTTTCTCTTCGTTTTCCCGTTCAGCTGCCGGCAGCTGCAATGCATGGCCAAACCCCTGTCTCTAAAGACGCTGCTCTTTGAGCATTGTTGTTGGCCTGATGTTGGTCAGCATGATGTCTTCCAGTTCCTCCTTGACCATCCCGACCGTGTCCTGTTAACCTTTGATGGTTTGGATGAGTTCAAGTTCCGGTTCACAGACCGGGAGCGTCACTGCTCTCCAACTGACCCCACGTCAGTCCAGACTCTGCTTTTTAACCTTCTTCAGGGGAACCTGTTGAAGAATGCTCACAAGGTGCTGACCAGTCGTCCAGATGCTGTGTCAGCTCTTCTCAGGAAGTTCGTCCGGATAGAGTGCCACCTCAAGGGCTTCTCAGAAGAAGGCATTGAACAGTACCTGAGAAAGCATCACCGGGAACCTGGAGTGGCAGACCGCCTCATCCACCTGCTCCAAGCCACATCGGCCCTGCATGGTTTGTGCCACCTCCCTGTCTTCTCATGGATGGTGTCCAGATGCCACCAGGAACTGTTGTTGCAGAATGGGGGGTTCCCAACGACCAGCACGGACATGTACCTCCTGATCCTACAGCATTTCCTTCTGCATGCCTCCCCTCCAGATTCCTACCCCCTCAGCCTGGGACCTGGTCTCCTTCAAAGCCGGCTCTCCACCCTCCTGCACCTTGGCCACCTGGCTCTCCAGGGACTGGCCCTGAGCTGCTACGTGTTCTCAGCCCAGCAGCTCCAGGAGGCACAAGTTGACGCTGATGATATTTCTCTTGGTTTCCTGGTACGTGCCCAAAATGTGGTGCCTGGGAGCAAGACACCCCTGGAATTTCTGCACATTACCTTCCAGTGCTTTTTTGCTGCATTCTACTTGGCAGTCAGTGCGGACACATCAGCAGCCTCCCTCAGGCACCTCTTCAGCTGTGGCCGGCTGGGCAGCTCACTGGTGGTTAGGCTGCTGCCCACTCTATGTATCCAGGGCTCCAGAGTCAGGAAGGGCAGCAAAGCGGCTCTATTACAGAAGGCTGAGCCTCACAACCTACAGATCACAGCAGCCTTCCTAGCGGGTCTGTTGTCCAAGGAGCATTGGGACCTCTTGGCTGCGTGCCAGATCTCTAAGAAGGTGCTGCTCCAGCGCCAGGCATGTGCCCGCTCATGTCTGGCCCAAAGCCTTCGTGAACACTTCCACAGCATCCCACCTGCCGTGCCTGGTGAGGCCAAGAGCATGCATGCCATGCCTGGCTTCATTTGGCTTATCCGGAGCTTGTATGAGATGCAGGAGGAGCAATTGGCACAGGAGGCTGTGCGTCGATTGGACATTGGGCACCTGAAGTTGACATTTTGCAGAGTGGGCCCTGCAGAGTGTGCTGCCCTGGCCTTTGTGCTACGTCACCTCCAGCGGCCTGTGGCCCTGCAGCTGGACCACAACTCTGTTGGAGACGTTGGAGTGGAACAGCTGCTGCCTTGCCTTGGTGTCTGCACAGCTCTGTAGTGAGTGTGACAAGGTCTTGCTGGTTAGGCCTGTGGCAAATGCTACTGTCAAGTTTAGATGTAGAAGCCTAACACAAAGTTGGGAACCAGAAGTCTGGGCCCAATCCCAGGCCTGCCACCCTTCATACACCAGCCAGACCCTTTCCTCTTCTGGACCTTAGTTTCAGTTCAGATAATGATAGCCACTGTCCTACTTTGTTTTCTGTTGCTGTGATAAAATACTCTGACCAAAAGCAACTTAAGGAAGAAAGGGTTTATTTCTTCTTACAGGTTTAGTCAATTATGTATGAAGCCAGGGCAGGTGTGTGAAGAGGAAACTATGGAGGCATGCAGATATTGGCTTACTTCTTCTGACTTGCTCAGCTAGCTTCTTTATATACCCCAGGTCCTCCTGCCTAGGGATAGTATCACCCACAGTGGGCTGGGCCCTCCTATGTCAGTCAGCAATCAGAATGTCCCATAGACATGCCCACAGGCTGATTGGATGGAGGCAATTCCACAGTTGAGGTTTCCTTTTCCCAGGTGTATCAAGATTGGCCATCACAGCCATACTTGTAGCTTTGTGCTAGACACTGTGCTACACTTTCCAAAATGACCCCATCTGTCCCCATAACCATTGCTGGGCTCAGCAGAGCCATTAGCACCCCCATAATCCTTTACTTGAGGCTCACAGGAGTCCAGTAGCTTGTCCAGAATTATACAGGAAACAAGGATGGCTTTCACAAATCATGTCTTTCTGGTTCCAGGTCTCCTCGCCCCTGTATGTAGGTGCACTTCTAATTCTCTGGGAAAGTCTTGAGGTCCTATGCAAAGTTTTATGTGTGTACTGGGAACCGCTTTAAATCAGAAGTGACTTGAACCCCGTCAGAGTCTTTAAAGTCTCACCAAGATGGCAATTTCAGGTCTTGAGAGAAAAGTGGTTGGACAACTTTCCATTGCCCATATGGCTTTCTGCTCCATGCCTGAAACACGAGGTTCTGCTCATTGGAACATCTGTGCTCTTGAAGTGTGGACCTTTTTCCATGTCTGGGGTCAGACAAAGGCAGAGGGTATGCCCAGGCCTGGTGACCAGCATGGCCGCAGCTCCCAACTTCCTTTCTCGTTTGTCTAGAGAGGGGACGTTCTGCTATTTTTTAGAGCTTATCAGGAAGAAGAAGTTGCACATTACAGTTAAGATCTAGAAACAGACTCCTTGCATATAACCTTAGCTGAATTTGCAAAAGGTAAGATTCCTGTGTGTTTTCGGATGGCTTATCAGCTCTAAGACAAAGCCACAACACACAGGCACTATGTGAAATTGTGTGGTGACTTGACTAATCCTTATACAGGGATTATGGTTGCAAGTTTATAACATAAAATACAGTATATGGAATATATATATATATATATATGTGTATATGTATATATATTATATGATAACTATATACTAGAAATATGAATAGTTCCATCTGGGTCTTAAGAAAATAGATGTTACCCTTAAATTGGGAAATAGAAAGAAAGTCTATGGAAGCAACTGCAGAATTGTGGATGGGAATTAGGAAGGGTTCTAGGGAAGGACCTGAAGCAAGGGAGGATTTACTGCCTGAGAGACCTGGAGTGGGGCTTTAGGGAGGGCATCTAAGGTTAGACAGCCTGTGCCTCTGCTGGCTGAGCCCAGTAGGGAGGCTGAGCCTGCCTCACATCATCTTAGGTATCTGCCTCCCAGTCAAGAGCCAAGATAAGAGCATGGATCTGACCAGAAAAATGAGTGGACGTGGTCTATACTATGGCGATTTCCCCAGGAAGGGGGCAACACAGTACCTTGACTGGGAATTTGTACACCTGGGTGTTGGAGCTGCTCTGGGAAATCTGAGTGTGCACCTTCCTTGATGGTAGATCCACACTTTTAAACCATGACCTCAGAAGACCAGATACACGGGTCTGGATGATCCTCGGAGCAAGTCATCTCTGGACTTTTTTATTATTATTATTTTCTTAATGAGGCCTCAGCCAGTACAGGCTGATCTCAAACCCAAGATCTTTCTGCCCCCAACTCCTCAGTACCAGAGTTACAGACACTGTCTACCAAGTTCAGCACCTGTCTCTGGAGTGTTCAAATGGTCCTCTCTCCATGATTATGAATGTTCATAGGACCCTGTGACATGCTGATGGGTCCAGGGGTCTGGGAGACTGTGGGTCTGCCTTCTTCTGAGAAAGGGGCTGCTGGCCTGGTTCTGGTTCCTAGTGGTCAAACAGTATCATGAGAAGATGCTGATTGAATAGAAGGGTCCCAGGTCGAAGGAATTCCTGTCCAGTAGGCTTAGGCTTGGGGCCTGAGAAACTGTGTAACAAGCATCACTGCTGACTCAGACACCAGAAGTCTTACCCTGTGAGAATATGCAGAAGCCAGTTTCTTTTACCTTGACCGGTTGCTGTGTATGGATGTATGTCCCTGGGGGATCCATGTGTTGGGAGGTGTAAGAAGTGGGGCATTGTGGGAAGTCTGTAGGTTACTGGAGGTGTGTCCTTGTAATGGGTTATTGGAGCACAGGTTTTTTTTTTTTTTTTTTTTTTTCTTCACTTTATTCCCTGGCTGGAGATACACACTCTTTTCCTCATTCACCATCCGGGCATGATATGATGCCTCAACACAGGCCCCAAGGCAATAAGGTCAACTAATGGATTGACATCTCCAAAAGTGTGTGTCAAAATGAACATTTTCACTTTACTAGTTAATCACCTTAGGGATTTACATTAAGAGGAGAAAGTGGATTTGAACACAGCAGTTAAAGCCCTTAGCTAAGCTCTACTGTTCTTAACCTATGTGTACAACCAAGAAGTGGTCTGGGGCAGCAGGCTTCCCCAACCTCACACTTCTAGGCCTCAGGCGTCAATTTATCCACACAAAAAGCCAGGAAGCTGTGTGTGTGTGTGTGTGTGTGTGTGTGTATGTGTGTGTGTGTGTACATAGCACAGCTATAAAGAGGGAGGAAAGAAAGTGGAAGGGAAGAAGGGGCAGGTGTCTCTCCTACAGCGTGAGTCTGCATCTTTTCCAGTGGAAGGGTTTCCATGCCAACTGAAATCCTTGTTTCTAAGAAACCCTACATGCAAAGTGCTCCTATGCAGGTTTCTCTAGATTCTGCTCTCTCTGCCTTGAGGGTGATAGTTTCAGTTTTCTGAGTTATTCCACTAAGAGAGAGAGAGAGAATGCACAGTCATGGGCACATAGAATTGAAATAAGAGCTTTGTGTAATGACTTCCCTTAACAACTCCGACTGGCTCTGCTTTCTTTTTTAAAAATAATTTATTTATTTTATGTGCTTTGGTGTTTTTGCCTGCATGTATGTCTGTGTGAGGGTGTTGGGGTCCCTGGAACTGGAGTTATAGACAGTTGTGAGTTGCCATGTGGTGCTGGGAATTGAACCCAGGTCCTCTGGAAGAGTAGTCAGTGCTCTTAACCACTGAGCCATCTCTCCAGCCCCTAACTCTGCTTTCTTCCATCTATTCAATTTCAGCTCTGAAATCTTGCTCAGGCTTTTCAGAATTGTCTGTGGGACTCACTAATAGGCCATATAACCTGCAGCTCGAAAACCACTTTTCTGAGAGCCCGAGAAAAGCCTTGGGGAGGCTGCACAGTGCTGTGCTTAAGGCAGGCTGGCAGCTGGATTGTCTAGGCTCAACCCTTGCAGCACTGTGCAGCCTCAGCTAAGTTAGGTCACTTATTTGTGCCTCATAATCTCTCCTTGAGGACTTAACAGTAGGATCTACTGCATGGGCTTGAAGGTGACAGCAGTGACCGGCATAGAGCAGTGCCAGGCACCTGGGATGTACTTGTGATTTCAGGTGGTTCTGGCCAGGTATGGTGCTCAGAGGGCTGTATGGGCACAGTTTACTGAGGATGGCCATTTCTTTCTTGCAGATGAGGGGAACTGCAGATAGCAATTCTAATTGTTTGAATGAGAATGCTCCCATAGAGGCAGGTATTTAAACACTTGGCAGTAATGTTTGGGGAGGTTTAGGAGGTACAGCCTTGTTGGCAGAAGTGTCAGCAAGGGTGAGTTTAAAGAGTGTTGCTACTTGGCGTTCACTCTCTCTTTCTGGTCACCATTGAAAATGCAAGCTCTCATGCTCTGGTTACCATGCCTACCTAATGATGTCATGCTTCCCTGCCATGATAGTCTCCTATCCTTCTAGAACCATAAGCCAAAATAATAAATTCTTAAGCTGTTTTTGGCTCATGGTGTTTAATCACAGCAATGGAAAGTAAACTAGGATAGTTAGTGAATAGCTGGTCAGGACATCCAGCCAAGGGGCACTATCAACTGAGCCAGAAACCATCTAGTCAGGACTACCCAAGTTTGCCTGATGGTTAGAATGGTGGGCATGGTTGTTGTGTATACAGGTTTCTGATTTCATTGACTACAGATTCCTGGGATGCCAGCTCCATGCAGGGGCCCAAGAAGCTGCATTATAGGGAAGCTTTCAGAGGACCTTGTGATCCAGGGTCCCAGGAGGAGATGGAGGGGCTTGCCCACAAGCAAGGCTTTGATGGACAAAGGGAGGTGAGCAGTGCTCACAAACCCAGGAATGTTTCTAAGGTTTGAGCCACTGTATCTATCTCCCTGGTCTGCCATCTGCTTGCTAGGTGGTTCTGTCCTGTTCTGGCTGCTTCTCTCACAGACCAGACCCTTTCCACCTTACAGCCTCATGTGGGATGATTGTCATGGTCACTATCCTTATGCAAAGTTGGAATTAACTTCATGGCCTTTCGAAGATCACAGTATTTTTTAGTCAGGGCTCAAGGTCCCCACTCCTTGGACTGTCCTCTACCATCAGCTCCCCTGCAGAGATGGGGGGACACAGGGTGCTTTGACCTTCTGGTTTTGGAAGTGAGAGTCTCTTTGAGGGTTTCTCTTATCAGCTCTACTTTTAACTGAACCAATGATGTCTGTTTCAGTTTGCGAGATAACAATATCTCAGATCGAGGTGTCTGCACACTGATTGAGTATGCTCTCCACTGTGAGCAGCTGCAGAAGCTAGCGTGAGTTGGACTGGGCATGGCCACTGAGGCAGCTATGGGTGGGTGATGGGGTGGACCAGTTGTAACCTGGCTGGAGGATGCAGGGTGGCTCCTGGGAAGGAGGAAGACACCCTGGTTATGCTCGTGTACTTTGTTTCCATCGTCCTTGGAACCTAGCAGTCTCTTCAACAACAAGCTCACAGACGGCTGTGCCTACTCCATGGCCAAGCTCCTTGCACACAGGCAGAACTTCTTGTCACTGAGGTGAGAGCTGATTTCCCTTATTCTCTGATGTTCCTCAGAGGTGAGTTCAGGTGATGTGGCCTGGACCATGGTGTGACCCACAGTGGGTGGTGACCCTTGACTGCATCTAGGAAAGGGTCTTGCTTTGAGCTGTTTCTATGCTACAGAGGCTGAGGACCTCCTGTCTTTTGGACATTTGGTCCCTAGGGTGGGAAGTTTCTAGGCTTTTTCCTCCCTCAGTGTCTATGAAGACTTCAAGTTCTTTCTGATGCACACTAAACCTGTGCTTGCTACTGCATCTGTGGTACCCAGTTGCTGGATAGTGTCCTAATGCTTCCTCAGAACTCATCAGGCAAGCTTTGAAATTCCACCTGATATTCCTGCCCTCAACTTGAATCTCTTTCCTACCAGAGATCAACAGATACACCCCAAATCCCTAGTGCTTCTCTCTCTCCAGTCTCTCTCTCTCCCTGCTCTCTTTCTCTCTCTCTTAAGTTTTTCTGATAGTCATGCTTTTTATGATTTGTGAGGCAATAGCAAAGACAGTGAGGAATTGCCTCCATCTGTTATCATCATATCATCATCATCATCATTATTGTTGGCTGCCTTTCAGGATGAGGGATGCCATTTTCAAATTTGGCCATTTAGCTCATCTCACACAAGGCTACAAAGGCCAAGGTCATAGGTATGACTTTGCACCGAAAGTGTCCTATCACTGCCACCTGCTCCCCCATACTCACCTGGTTCTGCCATCTAGGGAAGGAAGCCAGTGGGTAGCATGGGCTGTGGGACTCAGTACTGGAGGCCCAGGTTTGTGGCCAGCACGTTGTCACTGTGGCTGAAGCAGGGGCCCTGGAGCCAGGATGCCCCCAGTTCAAATCTAGAAATGCAGAGATGTGAATTCTTATTAGCTGCATGACCTTGTGTCAGATGACGTGAAGCCTCCCCCCCTCATGCCCCTGCGGGGGGGGGGGCGCGTCATCTCTTTCCTTTAAATGGGGTTTCT